AGGGAAAGCAGGAAAACTCTTTTTATTTGCCCATTTTTTCTCTAGCACAGGTGATATTGACATTGTTTACTCAATAAACTTTATGAGCACTTCAACTCTGAGAAAACCCAACTGTGGGAATTTTTAGTAAATGGAGGTCTTTTTAGTAAGCATTAGGCACCATTACCTAAAAATACATGTTGGTGGTTAAGAGACCACTTTTGACAGGTGGCTATACTTAAAAAAAACCCAAAAAACCCCAAAACCCCCCATAATAAAACCCCAACCAAATCCAAAAAACAGTCCCCAGGGAAATGAACAAGAAGTAGCATAGCACCAGTCTGTGGAGAATGAGATCAGTGGTTTCAGTACAGATCCATAAAGCAACTTTGGCAGGTCTGGACCAGCCCTGCTGCTTAAAGCAGGGTCAACTACTACAGCATGTGGCTCAGGACTGTGTCCTGTCAAACTCTGAGAAACTCCAAGGATGGACACTCTGTAGGATACCTCTGTCAGTGGTTTTTACCTTCACATTATTTACATATATATAAAATCAGAACTTTAAATGGAGATGTGTTGTTTCTGTTTATGTGTTTTGCCTTTTTTCTGTTCACTGAACACTATCAAGAAGAGTCAGGCTACAGCTGCTTTACACCACCCCATTCATTATTTTTACTCATTACTGAGATCCTCTGGAGCCTTCTCCAGTCTAAATAATCACAGCTCTCTCAGCCTCTCCATGAAGGAGAGAAGGATGAGATTCTCCAGTTCTTTAACCATTTTTGTGGTCCCTCTCTAGATTCACTCCAGTGTGTCTGAGTTTTTCTTGGTCTGAGGAGACCAGAAGTGGTACACAGTGCTGCAGATGGGTTGTCATCAGTGCATGACATGACAATTTTGATTTTTCTCCTTTAATACCAGTTCAATGTATTTCTGTCACTCATGTTTATCCAGGCTTTCATTTTAATCTGAATCCCTTCACAGGGCAGGATATCCCACTGTTTCTCTACCACATAATTCTCTGCTGCTGAAGTTCTCCATAACACATCCCTACCAAACTTCTCCCACCTAAGTACTTGGAGTTATTTTCCATCTCCAGCCAGCATATAAAATCCCACTTGTTTGCCAGACTTACAGTCAAGTGCTTTTCTGCTCATGTAGAAGAATTTCCTCCCCAAAAAACAGGATCTCCATTAGCTGCCTTCAAATCTTGCCTGTGGGCTTGCTGCTATTTAAAACCTCAGCAACAGTTGGCTGCTTTGGACATTGCTCATCTCGCTTAATTTAAAGTGTTTATGGTGCAATTCACTGTAGCCTCTGCACATAATAATTGGAGACAGAGGAATGGGAACTTTCAAGGTGTGATTTCTGTTCTACCTTGGCCAATCACTTTCAGGTGGGAGGAATCATCTCTTTAAATGTGTTTTCTCCTTCTCTTTTGTCTATTAAAGGAGACCAAAATAGATGGATGGAAGAGAGATAAGTGTCTGTTTTACAACCTCTTGTGTTTCCCTGCATGACTTAATGACTTGAAATGCACAGAGAATGTATCCATCTTATCTGTGAACCATTTCCATTGGTAAAACTTATGTTCTGTGTTTAAAAGTAAATGCAAATGCAGTTTCCTCCAAAGGAAGGAGGAGGTCTGTAAATAATGATCAGTTATTGATAATGATAAATGATAAATAATGATAAATTTCTTTTGTCCATAAATAATGATAAATTACAGAAAATGCAATATAAAGTCAAACTTTTTTTTGCAATGGTGTATAAGAACACAGTTTATTTGTTCTAATGGCTACAAAGTGTGGACAGGCAAGAAAGGGTTAACAGAAGAGGGAAGGTCACAAATAATTTTTTGTTGTTAAACTGAAAACCTTGAGTTACACCAGGGAGGAGGCAGAGCAGCACAGGGAACAGCTGGAGCCAGCAGCTGGCTTTGGTGAAAGCTGTGGTATGGGGCACGGCCATGAGGAGCTGGGTTGGTGGGAGATTGTCCTTGCAGAGAGAGGTTTGGGTCAGCCTTCAGAAAAGTCTTTCCAGCATCTGTGGCCCAGCCCCATGAGTTGTCAGGAGTTTTTATTCTTGTTTATTCCATCCCCTCTCAAACTGGTCCCTCTTCACCAGAATAGGTGAAGGCTGAAAGCTTTTAGGCTCTTGCCTAAAAACTTTGTGAAGGTCTCCTCTGATGGCATGCCCTCAAATGTTTATGTCCTCACAGAACAGGGACAAGAACTTGGGATGGGAATAACACAGAGGCTCCACTTGTTGCACAGAATGGTATGAAGGAAAAAATCTCCCCTGGATTGTGTTTCTGAGACAAAGGATGGAACATCCCAGACACAGATGTGTGAATGGAGCAGGTCTGGTTTTACTCCATGTTCCTGAGTCTTGGGGCAGGCTGTGTGGAGAACCTACAGCAGCCTGCTCCTGCTCTTGCTGCATTATTCATGACAACAAGTTGGCAAAGGAAATCTTTCCTAGGGTTCTCCCTGCTGCAACCTCCTGGAGGAGCCACTGGAGCTCCTGGTGCAGGACCCACTTGTGGCCAAACCCTCTTGTGAAATCCAGACCCACAACTCAATGGAAGCGGGGGGGAAAAAGCAGATGGGAGGGCTGCTGTGGCCCCACACGACCAAACACAGTTTATATCCCACTTTAACTCCCCCCCTCCCGTGGTAGGTTGTTGCTTGGCAACCCTGCATCCTTGCTCCACCGCTGCTCTGCGGTGCTGCTGCTCCCCTGCAGCCCCTCCCTTGCAGCAGGCTTGGGGAGAGCCATGCTTACACGTGCTCCCAGCAGCCTGCAAGCAGGGACAGTGTCTCTTCTTCAGTGCCTGCAGGTAGGTGGGAGTCAGGAAGATGAAAATGTGGAGGACACTGCATTGCCCGAGGCATGGGGAACTCTGCTGTTCCTGGTGTCTTCCTTGTATTGATTCTGGCCAGGGGGGTATTGGCTCCCAATAGCTCAATTCTTGTTCTGTTTATGTGGTTGCTACTCCCTGTGAGCCACTGGCATCCAGAGCAGGTAATAGAAATTGGTATTTGGCTCAGGACCAGGGATAACCTTCTTCCCACATCATTACAGCCCTTAATGGATTGCACTGTAACAATTATTAAATAGAGGTCTGCACAGCTTTGAAGCCATCATTCATTTTTTTTTTTTTCCAAGCCTTGTTGAAATTGTGATATTCCTGCAAATTTCCTGTTTCTACCACTTCTCAATGAGAAGCAGTTGTGTGTACGTAGACATGCCTGCATCCAAACCCAGAGGAGTTCTAGATCTATTGCTAAAATGCTCTGACTCCTAACCCAAATAATGGAAAATCAGGTTTAGAAATGAAATCGTCCTCTTGACTCATCCCTGTCATGCTGCAAGGTTATGATATGTACAGAGTGGCACAGCTGTCCCTGTGATTTCAGTGTCTGTAATTCACTCCATCCTGTCTTGGCATTACAATTGTTCTGTGCCAGTTGTTTAATGTCTTGTCTGTGCACACACATCAGACACAGAAACGGGTTTAGTTCATCTTTATATTTGGAGGCTTTCAATGGGTATCTCCAGTGCCATAATACTTGGGGTGTCATGCTATGCTACTTTCTCTTGTGAGAACCAATTAGCACCCAGAGAAGCCTCTCTGCCTTTTTTCAAGCCCACGTTTTCACCCTGGACATTTGGCTGAAGGGTTGTGAGCTTTGTCCCCACCTTTCTGATTTACCCATTTTTCATGCCACCTTCCTCCCCTACCCTATTCCATGTGTTAGGAATAAACTTGTCTATATGAAGATGTGAAAATTAGTTAAAAAATTAAATATATTTTTCCTGGCTTCTTCCCTCTGAAAGGAAATATTTTTCTTCTAGTTGACAGTCCTTTAAGCAGTGAGAATCTTACCTTCTCTGTTTGTTTGCAAGGTGCAATGCAAAGAGAAGTCTACAGCATCAAAAAAATAATCACTACCCTATGTTTTGATGATGTTGCTTGAAATAGAAAAGTCTGTTATTTTCTGAAGAAAACATGAATCATACACGGGCTTTAAAATCCTTCCCACAGACTGGATTTTTCCATGCTTTACTCTAGCATGGATTTCTAAGAAACATCTTTGTCAGCTGCTCTCCTCCTTCTCTCTAATAACTTCTGAACCTGCTGTCCAGTCTCAATCCATTTGCTTGCCAAGTTTAAGTAGAATATAATTAATTCATTGTTTTAATATGTGTGTAAGAGTATAAACACTCACCTGGGAGAGAGTCTAATCTAATCCCACTCCAAGTTGTTGAAAAAACTGGAAAAATGTATAGACATCTGACTTAAGTCTTCAGTCTTCTTATCAAATATCCAGAGGAAATTCCTTTTCCCTGTGATCCTGTGCTCACAGAACCACCTAATGGGGAGAGCTGGCTTGTTCACATCTTCCAGATGCTACTGGAACCCCAGGAATGAGCTGCATGAGAGAAGAGTAACTTCAGGCAGGGTAAAAAAAAAAAAAAAAAAAAAAAAAAAAAAAAAAAAAAAAAAAAAAAAAAAAACAAACAACAAAAAAAAAAAAATATATATATATATATATATAATCCCCATTTTATGCTTTAAAGCTCAGTGTGTATTAAGCCATCCAGAGTGTTTTGAAAGCTGCTGCTTTAATTCATGAGCATATCCAGACTGAATGGCTAATTGTGTGTGTACTGCAGGAGCAGGTCATGCGAGAGAGCACATTTTTTTGCCAGATAACAATATTCCTGCACATTTTCAGCTTGGAGCAGTCAATGGCTTCAAATGAAGCAAATTTTAGCTATTCCCTTGCATTTTTGGGGTGGAATAGATAGGTATCAGCAGCACAGATGCTTTCACAAGATGCAGATGATTAAGATTTTGTTTCTCCATCTTGAGCATTCCCAGATGCATGGTCACAAACAGAGCTTTTCAACTGGTATCTTCTTAATGGTACTTACAGAACCAGAAATTCCTTTTCCATTCTTAAGTGTCTCATGGAAAATATTTAATTTTTGCAGCTTGCCCTGATAAAAAATGGCTGACTGTGAGCTTATAGATAGGAGTATTAAGCTTGGTAGCCAGTGAATATCAGAAGGTTTAGAGATTGGTTTTGACAAGCATTCAACATTTATCTGAATCTTCCCAGTATCAAATCGGGCATGAAGTCTTCTGAGGAAAACCTGTTCTCACAAGGCTTTTGATTCTCCTGTTTCCAGAGTGATGGAAGCTACTAAAAAGCTTTCCCACTTCTGCTCCTCTTCCCTTCTTAACTCCTGGTCCTTTTATCCCTCTTTGAGTTGCTCTCCCTTTATTATGGGTGCAGTGACAAAGCTTTAGTTTACCTGAAAATTTGGAGAGGAGTGGTTCAAACTTGTCATCTTTAAAATAGATATGAATCAGAGAGAAGATGGAGAATATTTCCCAGCTTGTTTCAGAAGATAGAGATTTGAAAGTTTTGGCCAGTATTTCAGCCAAATATTCACAAATTCGTTGCATAATTTCATTAAAAAAAGGTTAAAAAATGCTTCTTGAACCACTCCAGGTTTTGTTTCTTTATTATCTCAGAGGGGTATGACACTTTGTTTATAAACCGACTGGGACTACAATTCCTTTCTTAGCAGAATTGAAATATTTCTGAATCTTATTAAATGAAAATCATCACTAAATGTAAAACTAAGTGAGTTTTCTTAGTTATAGCCCTCTGTGCTGATCTTTACCTAGTCTACAAGATAATAACTCATACTTTCCTTTCAAATTGCTATGCTGCAAGGAAATAGTCAAGAAAACTCCAGTCAGGGAAAGAGGTCAGTAAGAAGGAGAGACAGAATGATTTAGAAACTGAGGGATGACTGAGCCAAGGTGCCATCTCCCCCAGAAAGTGGGCTGATCATTCACTTAGATTCTGATTTCAGGCATGTTCATTTTTTATTGTTTCTTTTCCCCAGGTCTTCTGACTGTTGAGAACTTCCTCTCTCGCCACGCTTTCCCTTCACTTCCTCTCTACTTCCCTCCCATTCTTTCTTCCTTCAGGTGCTTTTAAAACCACTTTCAAAGCTGAAATTGCAAATGAGTTTTTTGCATTCTGAATGACAATGAGGGGCTCTGTTTGAATAGCTGAATGCTTCAATGGCAGATATTTGACTGAGTTCCCTAAAGCCCAAAGCCTATGAAACCATCCACGATCTGAATAGAGCCAATTACCACTTACAAGGAGCTGCTGCTCCTTGGAAGATTCTTTTGGGTTTTTTTTTTTAGAGTCCAAATCAATGCAGACTTATTGTAGACAGACCATTTTATCTTTTTCTTTGAAGAAACAATTTCCCTGCAAGACTGGTTATAGGTTATATGTGTCATCCACCAGATACATCATCTTCCAATGTGGGGATGTGAAAACATTCAACCACTTGGATCTTAAATTTTCAACTTCATTTTTACAAAGGCTTTCCATGAGGCAGCTCTTAATTGTGTTGGTCTGCTGTGGTCATTCCTTGTGTGTTGGCTCACTTAAGGTGAGGATATGATTCAGGTGCACTGCAAAATTGGTGTGCAGACCTCACCATTTAACCCTTCCTGTGGTTTTCAGTGGAGATATTTCAACAGCAAGCTGATGACTGGGTGGGATGTGGTTAGATGGATCATGCTGGTGATGTTTCTGCATGTTCTTCATGGGGTAGAACTGGAATGTGTGTGGCCAGAACTGTCAGAAAAATATTTGGTGTTCTGGATATCCCATTGGAGCCAGATGGCTCAAATTCTTTAGGGTTTCAGTGAGGTCCTAATATAAAATCTTCTCCTTGTGTCTCCTGCTTCAGTGTGACCTGGAAAGTTGCCTGAGATGCATTCAGGGTGATCAGCGGCTGATTTGAATTGTTGCTATATCTCTGTTATATCTCCTCATCAAGCTGTGTGGTAGCTGCAGAAAGCAAGGATGGGCAACTCAATACAGTCAACCAGTAGATGGTCTAAATCCAGATTAAGAATTTGAGACTACTTAAAGATTTTTGATCCTTACAACTAAATCAATAACTTCCAAAGCTTTTTTTTTTTTTTTTTTTCAGAGAAGATATAGTTATATGCAGGGTTTAACTGGGATACCTTGCTGGAAATTCATTGAATTTGTTTTAGGAAGAACTAAGTATTTTCCAGCCACTTAATCTAAAACATTATATTTTAATCAAACAAACAATAACAAAAAAACATAAATGGGGATTCTCCTTCATGACCTTGAGTAGCCTTGATTGAAACTGAAGCCTGATCATGCTTGATTTTCCAGACTTGAAAAGTAGCATCCTGACTGATGTCATGTACTTTGTGTGGAAGTTGTCATATGGTCTTCTTTCTCCACTTTGACAGATGGCTGAATTTAGGTTTCAGTCAAGACATTCCCTGAGCAGCAGGACCAGTGAACCCTGCTCTCATGCAAAATTGCATCCTGCCTTCCCCCTCCCCTCCTCAAACCCAGCCCAGGAGAAGGATTACGCTGCCTAGTTGGTTGGATTCTGCTAAAAAATGTTAAATACCCTCTGGATTTTGGTGCCACTGAAGAATAAATTAAAGTTTTACACTTTTACTTTGCAGCTGCTGTGATTGTTTTAAATGAACTAAAATGCACACAAACTTGTTTGAGACAGTTCTACAGGAAGCTGAAATTTGCCAAGGGCTACCAGAGTTATGTAAATGAGTAAAGGAGGTAGAAATGTATAAGAAGGAGGTTTATTTATTCTGTCATTGTAGAATGTCTAAAACACTGCATCTCTTAAGCCCTAAACATGTTTCGGGCTTCAGAAGAGGAAACAAAGCAATTCTGAAAGAGCTGCCTGAACAAATCTGTCATGAACTTCTCCCAAATGCTCTCAAATCTATACTTAAACATTTCTGCTAGTCACCAGCTCTTTCTAAACAGATTAAAGTTTTGTTATTTTTAACAGAACTTCACTCCCAATAAAACCAATTTTTAAAAATTTTTTATTCTCTGCCAAGACATTTGCGCTTCTCTCTTTAATTTTTGTTTAACAGCATCAGATTCTATTTTCCCCTGAAGAGCTTCCCTGGTTGCCCACATCTTTTTTGCTTCCCTGGTTGCCCACATCTTTTTTCTTAAATGCAGCCACGACTCCTTGCCCAATATTGGTCTCATCTCTCCTGCTTTCCCTTCAAGGCTTCAGTCTCCCCTGGCTGATAGCCCAGCCCAAATGGGATGCAGGGAACTGAGCTCTCTCCTGATGGCATTCACTGTCCCTCACTTTGGTTTTCTCAAGAATTAGAAAGAAGGGCCTTATACAACACCACAGGGTCGTGTTCTGATCTGTCCTCTATGGCTTCAGAAACATCTCCAGGCAGATCTCTTTCCCTGCCCAGCTCTGCTGCTGCTGAGCTTCCTGCAGATGTCCACCCCAGTGTCTTGCTGGGGGACGTCCTTTCTTGGATTTCATTGCAGTGCACAAGGCAGGGTGTTGGCAGCAGGGCAATGTCTGGTGCTGTAAAGCATTTTCTTGAAAAAATATTGTCCCCTAAATGTGAAGTCATCCTGTTGGTAACACACTGGGGATTCTGCAGGTTGAGATTCCTTTTTGCTTTGTTGTGTTTGCTTTTCATCTTACAGCTTAAATCCAGAGTTGCCCTAATGCTGTTATGTATTTCACAATATTGATTTTTTTTTTAGCTGTCTTCATTTAATGTTTTTCCCCCTTTTTTCCCTTTTCCTTTTTAGACCAACCTTCACATCACAGATGTGAAGAAAGAATAGGCGCAGAAATTGCTTTTAGTTAGAGAGACTGTAATTTACTCTTTCACTACAGGAGGAAAAAAACGTCTCGCCACAGAAAGAGACGCAGATGAAAGGCCAAATAGTATCTGGACCTGTGTAAGCACTGCGAGATGTGTGTGTGTGTATGTACGTATTTTCCTTCAGCGGTGCACAGAATCCCAGTCAATTATTTGATGCACTCGCCTGTCTGGGCTGTGACCTTCTAGAAGGGCCCCCTCCTCCAGTCCCCCCACACGACTTGTCAACACATTAGTCATATACAACTCAGCTGATGCCAAACGGCCGCAGTTCAGCCAACTATTGAGAGGCTGGAAATTCTGCTGCCTCCTTCTATTGGTCTTGGGTTTTTCCACTGTGCGGACCCGGTGGTGCTTTAAGACTGCGGAGGGCTGGGGTTAGCGCTGGTCCCTGCGCCGCGCCGGGAGGCAGGGGAGGTGAGCGGCGGGCTCGGCGCGCTCCGAGCAGCCGGAGAGCGAGGCAGGAGGGGAGCGGAGCCGGCAAAGAAGCAGCAAGCAAGGAAGATGTGCCCGCCTGCCCGCCCGCCTGCCGCCGGGCCGAGGGGAGCCGTGTGAGGAGCAGCGGCAGGAGGAGGAGGAGGAGGGAGAAGAAGAGGAGGAAGAAGAGGAGGAGGAGGCGTGCGAGGAGCCGGCTCGCCGCGGCTCGGGGCCGGCCGCCGCTGCTGCCGGGGATGCTGGTGTGGCCGCGCCGGAGGATTTTGTCACCTGTGGCCCTGCCCCCGCCGCCCTGCGGGCGCCTCCCCGAGCCAAGGACACACCTGGGCCCCGCCGCGCTCCCGCCCCCCGCCCCCGCCGCCGGCCGCCTCTTCCCCCGCCCGAGCGCCGGGCGAGCATCGGCGGAGCCGCGGGGCTGCAGGCGGGGCTGAGCGCTCGCTGGGCGGACGAGCGGCCCCGCAGGCTCCGAGCAGCCACCAGCCGAGCCAGGCGAGGCGGGCGGCTGGACCCGGTGCGCGCTGCCTGCCAGCTCCGGCCCGGCCGTGGGCGCGGCGGGCGAGGGCGAGCCCGGAGCGGGGAGCGGGGGAGCGGCGGGGGCATGTGGATGTTGGCCGTCGCCTTGCTCCACAGCATCTCGCATGGTGAGCCCCGCCGCGGGCGTCCCTTCCCTTGTCCCCATCCTTCCCCTCCTGCCGGCCGGGAAGGGGAGCGGGTCGCGGTGGTGGCTTTTGTGCCGGGGAGGAGAAGGGCGAGGAGCGAGAGCGCCGCGATCGCTTAAAGTCGCTCACCTCGCCAAGTGACAGCCCGGAACCTCCGTGCCTGCCTCCTTCGGAATGAGACGGCGCTTGCAGAGGCGAGGAGGCAGAGAGGCGCTTTTTCTTTCTTTCTCATCTGGAAAAGTACAGAATTTTTTGCCAAGTGCCGTAGAAATCCGTCAGAGCACGCGGGGATAATTTGAAGGGCTTCCATCCTAAGCGGTCGCATTGAGATATTGATTCCTTTCGCATCTTTTTTTTTTTTTTTTTTTTTTTTTTTTTTTTTTCTTTTTTTTTTTTTTTTTTTTTTTTTTTAATTCGCCCTCTGCTTTCACCTTACGTTTTTTACATATATTTAGAGAAGTCGTATTTTAAATTTATTTAACTTTCATCATTTCTCCGTGAAGGTACCTGTTCCGAATTTTTTTTTTCCCCCTCACTCATTTATGTAAAAATATGCACGGATAAGCATTACATCATCTGGAAAGGTTGAAGACTTTTAGTCAATTATAAAGTTAGGAAGGGAAATTAGAGTGAGGATAGAATAAGGGTAAACCTGTTATTCTTTAATTTTTTTTTTCCTTCTGCCAACTCTTTGACTGACAAACATTTATTGCAGTTTCTGTGCGTTTTTAATAGTGGGTTGGGGTATTTTGGAACATTTAGATATATTTGATTGAAAACCATGGCATGTGTAAAAATATGCTTAAATTGCTTAAGTTTTATTAAAAATGCACGTTTAGCATTGCAATTTTAAGGACAAAAATACCATAGCTGGGGTGCCAGCTATTCTATTGCACTGGCTCCTCCGATTCGAGAACGTAACATTGCCTGTAATGCTTTTCACCCTGCCAGATAAATCAGATTAAACACACAATTCTCGAAATAGGCAAAGCAGGTAGAAAAGGGAAAAGGTTTCTTGTGGGGAATGAATGAGAGAGGAGCACAGGGCAAAGTGTGAGGATTCCTGAAGGATGGAAATAATTGAACCTCTGGCAGAGGGTGAGGGATGAATGCTGGATGAGGGTGCCTTCACATCTTCTTAAGTAGACACTGGATGAAAAAATGCACTGACAGGCATGGCTGGTCCAGTGTGAAGCACTGGGGAGGGCAGAAATCAGGAGGTGAATCTTAAATGCGTGGATTTAGAGCGACCTTAAAAGCATTTTTGTCTTTTGCGTGCCTCAGAATTTCGTATTGTCGTGGTTTGAAATTCCCCAAAGTGCAAACTTGGAAAATTGTTTGCATTTCTTTTGGCAGTAAGAGAACTGCAACAAGTTTTAACATTAAGAAATTATCTATTTATTTATTTATTTTTGACAGGCAGCAGCACTGTGCCTTTCTGTCCTCTCCAGCCAGATACCTTGGAGGGAGAGATTTGCTGTTAATAGGACAGACAGAATCAGCCTGGAAGTGTGCTCTGACCAGTGCTATCCATTTAAAACTAGATTTGCATAGAAATAAACCCTGGTTCTCTCCAGAAATCATATTTTACAAGAAAAAAAAGCAGATGTTTTTTTCTACTGTACTGATGCTTTAAATTCTATGTTCTATCCTAGTTAGTCCTCCTTGCAAGGATTTTTTGAAAAACACAATAATTTTTGCCTTATGAGGTCGGAGCACCATGAAAATCTCTTCCATTTATTCCTTGATCTATGAAGTCAGCAGTAATTTCACTTTCAGTTTCCAAGTATTTTTGGATCACAGTCAAACCTGAATTTGTCTCCCAAAGAGTGAAGAGTGTAATGTGTACATGATAGATGCATCTGCATGGATTCTGTGCTGCCACGCAGCAACATCTGTACGTTTGTGACTCCAGGGGGACTAAAATTAAATGGTTTTGTGTATAGCAATATTCCAAGATGTAAGCATTGTGAAAACATGTAGTGGGCGGTTCAACGATTCTTTGCAACTTAAAAAGTCTGTGTGTTTTTGGTGTCATATTTGATGTCAAAATGCAGATTTTTAGGGTCTTCTTAAGGGAAATCTTTGAAGAAAATGTCGCCTACCTTCATGTTAAGACTGGATGTGATGGTTTTATTAGTTGATAACACTTATTAGGACTTATTAGGGTCATTTTATCAGAGTCAAGAGTCAGAGAATAATATTTTTAAAGGACTTCAGATTTTAATGCAGTGTCATATCAGATATGTATCTCTTTGAAGGAAATGACTGCATATATAAATAGATACGTCACGTACACATTTATTTTCATTATTCTATCTATAACTCCATCTGAACTCCATTGTGTAACAGGCAGGGCTCTTTTATGAGTGTATCTGGTTGTGGGGGGGACAGATTTCTGCTTGGCTTCTGTCACTGCCTTTTCAAACCACACCATATTTTCTTAGAATACCCGTGCAGGTATAAGTGGTTTTCCAATGTGTTACACCTCATTCTGATTTTAACTTAAAAATGTGTAAGATTGTTCATGTTCGTGTTGGTTTTGATTTTTTTTTTCCTTTTTTTTTTTTTTTTTTTTTTTTTTTTTTTTTTTTCTTTTTATTTCTGAGGGGAGAAAGAGGTTAAAAATAAACCCATAGGTTTAACTCTGCAGTTGTAGTCTTGGGCTTAATTTCTGTTGGATAATGGATAATGGAAACCTTCTGAATAGCAATAACAAGGTTGGCCCCCATATTTCCCTACAGTCACTCAGCACAAATACATTTTGTCAAATTAGATATGAGCAGTGTCACTGGGAAGGCTTTATGCTTGTGAAATAGCTTCCTTCTGGGGACAATAAACTACTGACACGCTCTTCCATCCAATTAGTATTTCTGAAGCCTGAAACAAAAACCTCCCCAAATACCTGGTTAAAGTTTATGTATTTTGTGAGGGTTTTGAAGTCTCGTTGCTGTGAGTTCTTTAAGAATACAGGTAACTATTAACCATAAAGGCATTGCAGCCCTGGAAAGTACGTGGGATGATATAGACATCAGTGGGAGCTCTGCAGCTGAATTCACTACCTTGAAAGCCTGAGTCATGCAGTTCTAATCCTGAGCAAGGCTTTTGAGTTGCCTTTCAGGGTTACTCTACCTGCACCACCTTCCCTGCTACTCTGCCTGAGTATTCCAGAAGTGAGCAGCAGAAGTCTGCTGTAGCCTGGTCATAATTAGTAATGGGGCATTTCACTAATTGCAGGGAGAGAAAGCAGGGGAGGCTCTGAGGGGAGAGTGGCCTCCTTCAAGATCCTGCCTCTTTTTGGTAAGGGCTGTGGTCGAGCTAGTTCAGGTGCTGCTTTCAGAAATGAGGCTCGTTCAGCATCACTCAGTCTCTGCTGTGGATGTGCTGAACCCATTTCCAGGCTTCTCTCTGGCTGCATTTCTTACATGCCCGTTGCCCACAGATGCTCTGCTGAAATCAATCGAGCATTGGGAGGCACCAATACAGCACAGATGACACTAAAAATACATTTCCATTAAAATGATTTCCTGTTTGAATCCTCTCCCTGCTGTACTTCTATCAATGTGGTTTTTAGCAGCATTTTGGAAGATGGAGAAGGATCATACTGAGCTGGGAGCAGGGGTTAGGCTGGAGGATGAGGAGCCAGAGCGACGGTGGTGCTGAGCCTCCCCAAAGAAAATGGTGATTTTTCAGTGCTGGGGATGCAACATCCGAGCTAAAGAGCAAGCTGCTCTCTTTGTAGGAACATACTGACCTACCTGCATCGCTTGTGTGGAATTCTGTAACCAGATCCTCACCTCGAGGAGTTGAATGTGCAGGAAGCATTCAGCTTGGTGCTTGTGTGTGGATGGCACAGCACAGCTCAGGGTGTTTTTTAATCCAGTGCTACCCGAGCTATGAATAGCTATTAATTAATCACCAACTGGCAAGGGGAAAAAAACCTGTTATTGCTGGGCAGTCAGAGGACATGGGGATATCTATATCTGTTTCTCCTGTGCTCGGGGTGTGCTGCTCCCCCAGGTGCTGGGGCTCTCCGGGGGGATTTCCTCCCGTGGTGTGCCCAGTGGCTGTGCTGGAGCTGGAGCCACAGGACACTAGTGGGCAGCAAACCACAGAATCTGTGTCTTCCTAAGCTGTGGGAGCACACAGAGGCAGCTCAAAGAGGCATTTTGCCTGTGTTTTTCTAGCAAGGGCCACTAAAAGCTGGTGGATGCTGCATCTTTTTCCCGTAGCGCTGGACAGCAGATGTGCGTGGCACTGAAGGTGTTTTTTGGGAGTGGTTCAAAGAGAAGTTGTTTTTTGCAAGTTGTAAAAACAAACCTCTAAACCGTCTTAAACGGGGCTTTATTGCAGCTCTCAGCTCTTCACTGTGATTTCATACAACCACAGGATTGTTTAGGTTGGAAAAGACCTTTGAGCCCAACTGTTCCCCCAGCACTGCCAAGTCCAGCACTGACCCCTGTCCCCAAGTGCCACATCTGCAGCTCTTCCTGCAGGAAGGCTGGCTGTTCCAAGGCTGGAAAACTCTTCCCATGAAGAAATTTTCCTGTTATCCAATCTGAACCTACCTGGTGCAACTTGAGGACATTTCCTCTCATCTTATCCCTTGTTCCATGGTGAAAAGATCCCGACCTCCACCTGCCTCTACCCTTCTCTCATGGAGCTGTGCAGAGCCACAAGGTCCCCCCTGAGCCTCCTTTTCTCCAGGCTCAGTCCCTTCCCAGCTCCCTCAGGAATTCTCCAGCCCCTTCCCAGCTCCATTCCCTGCCCTGGACACGCTCCAGCCCCTCCAGGTTTCTCTGGAAGTGAGGAGTCCAGAAATGAAAACAGAATTTCAGATGTATTTCAGTGGAAAAGTTTAGAAGTTGATTTTAATTTTGTTTGTTCTTGAGCAAACTTTTGTCTCATAACATGCTGCTAATTTGAATTATTTGGGAAAAATCTCAGGGGTTTTGGTGATTAGCTCATCCAGAAAGTTCCTCCAGTTAATGAGGTGAGCTCAGGCTGGGCCTCACTTTTTGTGTCTTTGCCTGAAAAAGAGACTTAACTGTGCTGCCCTCTCAGGTGAGGGGGTTGTTTGGGATGGGGAAATAATCTCTTTTACCCATTTAATAAACAATTGCAGTATAAAAAAAAAAAAAAAAGTTGAAAGCAACAAAATGAACCATCTTGCTGGGGGTGGGAGGTCAGGGCAATGGATTGAGGAGCAAAATATATGGATTTTTTTGTTTTCATAATGTTTACTCTAATTAAAAAGTTAAGATGTGTGTAGGATCAAGACCTGTTTGAACATACCACTCATTTAGCCTTTGATTTTATTTGGCACAT